GATACAGAAGACCCCGTACCCGATCCATCTCTACCCGACAAGGCGGTATCCTCCCGCTCCTCTTCACTCAAAGCAGTATTGCCACCCTCATTTTACACTACGGCGACCGTAGCTCCAATCAGGCGTGCTATTCACTCTTCCTCACCTAGTGTTGAAGATATCTCATTCCCTACCAATGGGGCCTCATTAGAGCGTACATCGTCCCCTGAAAATCCATCAACCAAAGGCATTCAGATAGCTACTTCCAAGATCAAAGGGGTTGGGAGCATGCCCAAACCCGACCCAGGGAAAGAGAAGTCTAACCAGCCCAAGAGAAAAACTGGTGTTGATTCCATCGTGCCTATGTCTCCAGCGGGTAAATCTTATTGCGCAGCTTTCTTCACTAGGCCCTAATGTAACTTTTAGCTATGGAAAAAGCTGCGGCACTGTTGCAACGGCACCGGGAAGCAGGTAAGTATGCATCCATATATATGTGATCAATGCTTAGATACCTTCCTTAGTGGTTGAAAACGCCATTCAACGCAATAAACGTAGGAGGAAGAAGGCTGTAGTGGAACAAAAATCCACCATAGAAACAGGTCAAGAGCCCGTAGAAGAGCAGAGCTCTCTGGAACCAAATGATTCAACTGTAGTCAAGAAGGATAAGAAAAAGAGAAAAGCGGATGTAATCTTAGGGCAAAATACTGAGAAGGACACTAGCATTTCCAACGAAAAATCAAATAGAAGCGAGAGTCCGATGTATGTATAACGTTACTTTGGCGTGGCTATTCGTTGATCCTCTGCTTGATAGGCATCAGAAGGTTGGAGAACGATCCAAAACCGAGGCAGAAGGTTCGGGAACAAGCAAACACGCATCATCAGGTGCAGCATCCCTTTCTCTTCGTCGCAAGTTACCTGCGATCCGGCCAGAGCATGATACATCATTGGATCTAGTCCCTAAAGCTGACAATAAAGTAACAGAAAAGAAAGGGCGAGGAGTATCTACCTCGAGGGACCCCTTAGATAAAGGGGCGCGAGCAGAACCATCCTGTCCCATCTGCGATGGCCCTTACCACCTCAGGTCCAAGTGTCCCACTGTAAT